TTTTGTCGATAAGACGTCGAATTCTTTGTTTGAGGAATTAATCTTTTTTACGAATGAAGGATTAGATTTATCTATTCGTCTTAAACGATGATAAATATGATTATGTAAGGCTTTGGTTCGCTCAAAAAGATTATAATCATATTTTTCGGTTAAGGAGTAAATTCGGGTAGCCAGCTCAGTTATAGAACTTTGAACGCCCTCATAATCCACCGTTATATCGAGACCCGATTCAAAAAGATCTTCATTAGGTATTAACGAAATAAGTTTTGATATCTGTTTACGTAAGCCTAATACATTAGGAGCCGGTTCATCGCCTCTAATAAGTACTTCGTACGTTAACTCCTGTTTATTAAGCAGTAAATATTTAATAGGGTGAGTTCCCATTGTGTATTTACAACAGAATGCTAAAAACAAGACAAAAGGAGACGTAAGATACTACAAGCATAAAGTTACCGCATCTAAATCTAAAAATCAATCAATCAATCTAAAAACTATATAACTCCAATTCTGTTCTTTACAAAAAAAATTACAACGTAAAATCTAACTACGATTCGGTGTAAACTATTACTAATTTTAATGTAGGTACTTACACAATTAAAAAGCAAAATCAACAGTTGTTTAGATGCGAACTGTTACGTATATAATTGCGACTTTTAATAGTTTAAATGGTTATCAGGTGCTTACAATGTCTACATTTGTTATATTAAATATATTAACAAAAGAATAGGTAAGTAATAGTAATATTCTTCGTAACAATTGACACTATAATAAAATGGTAGCAAAATAAATGACACTATATTAAACGTTTATTAAATTATAAAAAACGTACCAGTTCGCTGTTGTGACACCTCCTCGTTCACAATAACATAAGTTGAGAGCTGTGAAGCGAGAAAAATATGAATGTTTGGAAGTAAGATTAACCACGTTGAGCGCCACTGTACCGTTAGGGGTACAGAATAGGTGGGTTTTTAAAAAACCAAGATTTACGGTATTGTAATTATTTATTTATCTTACTTCCGCACACGTACAAGTAATTCTATTAAGGGGATCACTGGCCTGACGTAGGGGCGAAGTCCAAGCGCTGTTCCCCCAAGGCCGTAGACAGCCAGTTAGCAGAAGGGCCGGTGAAGCCCAAGCCGATAGTGATGATGGCCGTTGGTAGGAGGGTAGGCCAACACTCCGTTAGCTCGCGGCTCGGCAGCAGTAGCCCTTAGGTAGCAGGTAGATGCTAGGTGGTAGTAGATCCTGGAATTCCAGACGGAGGCCAGCATTAGGGAAACTTCCTATTGCACTATATGCGCCCTAGTCAATTCCAGCACCCCTTGTAGGAAGTTAAAATTCTTAAAGCTAAGCACTAAGCAGCCTCAGCAAAAGAGGTATTAATTAAGCAGAACAGTTACAATGTTTCAATAAATAAGAACTCACCCCAGCGGGATCAACTGCACCTCGAATAATTTAAATTGTAGGTAAGCAGGTTCAAAAGTCGTTAGTAGAAGGGTCACGCGCGTTGCCAACTTGAAGCGGTCTCAGGTAAAAATGCAAGAGGAATGGCCCGAACGGGGACTCGCCGTCGTGTCCGAAACCTACCGAGTCTTTTGTTTTAGAGATCGTTAAGCAAAATGGTTCACGCTGCGCGGATTAAATTAACTAGTCTATGGTTCCGTAGAATAACTATTTTAAATTAACAATATGTAATAATTCGTTACTTTTTATTTTTAGATTAGAATATTATATTACTATTATTTATTTAAGATTAATCAATTATAAGTGTAAGGGTGCATTCAGAAGCAACGTTACACGACGCCTTGTCGATTGGCGCACGTATTTACTTGAATATTCTGGATGTTTCGGTGATAATGTGTATTTAAAGGCGCTGCAAGATGCGATCGAGGAAGTATTGAATTTGGCGAGACAATCGAAGCTTCGGAAGGGAATAAAGTGAATCAGTGTGATTAATTATTAGTGTTTTAAGTTTAATTAGTGTAAAGTGAATTAGAGTTCATTTTGGTAATTCTATCAGCAATTTTTACTGTCACGAACCTCAAGCTCGTAACAGTATGCAATAGGTGATATTATTTTTAACGGCGCGGCGGCGTAGGCTACAATTTCTTGTGAATGAAAGTTTTAAGCACGAGCGAGACGCATGCATATTTCTTTCGTTAGGCAAATTCATGTATACACCAGGCAGCTAAGTGGGAGCAGGTGACACATCGTTGCAGCCAACATTTAGAATAAGGCGTATTCAAAAAGACCTACAAATTATAGCTACAATACTTGCCTCGTAATGCTTGAAGCGCAAAGTGTTTTTTGATGCGGCACTATCTTAAATTTCAATTCAACCTAAGGCACTATTTACAAATGCAGATTAGTGACGTTCGGCTGCAATGACGTTACGATACGTGGACTAAAATATCTATAATGATTTCTTATATTTACACGAATATTATACATGGAATAAAACTAATTTTACGGATTCCATCGCGTTTAATTTTACCTTTTTTTTAATTCCAGACATTCCGGGCATTTTCCACCACAGGTTACAGAGAGGACTGAGTTGTTTACCGTCCTGATGTCATAGTTAACGAGGGCTATCTTCAACTTTTACATATTTTTTTTGCGATCTATGCAGAATGAGCTTACAGTGTCTTGAATGGATGAATTGAATTTGAATAGATGGTAGCACCCAGCCTTCTTCCCTATTGAAATTAGGATGTTTTTTTTTTAATTTCAATAGCCTCGCGAATCATCCTTATAAGGAATCGGTGTTCTTTTATGATAATTTGTGGTCGATATGGTCGTTAATGATTAGCGCCCAAACGTTAACACTGAAACGAACTTGATGAGCATGTTCTTTAATTTTATGTTTGTTTTGGAAACTCCACCAGCGCTTATTGAGCACGTTGTAAATTCCCACACGGGTAAATATCGACTCGTCGCACCATCTAAGTTTTCACCAGACAAGAGGTAAAATCTTACCATTGCTAGGTACCTAGGTATTCGACATTAGATTATTGTTACATGTTTACGATAACTATCAGCGGGCGGGACGATACACACGCGGAAACATAAACAATTTATGCGACGTCAAGCAGTAGTTATTTACAGCTGACGAAAAGTGGAGCGCGGGCGGCCTTGTCTTTGCGACCCTGCGAGAGGGATGAGTGTATTACGAATTTATTGTTTTATTGCTGCTAGTATAGTAGGGTGCGTGTGATTCCTTCAGAACTTTTATAATAATAAATAAATATAAGTAAATATCATTTTATTGCCACTTTTAAAAAACATGTTGACATATAAACTAATTATTTAATCTTAATTTGATTTAAGCAAACGGAGGTGACTCAGCTTTTGCTCACATGGAACTAGATCCCACGAAGCGCTGGTTTCCTTCTTCCCTGAGATGTTACATGGGTGTTATGAGAATTTCGAGTTCCCCAATCACCTCTTTTATTCACTCATCTGTGTGTGTGTGTGCGTGTGTGTGTGTGTGTGTGTGTGTGTGTGTGTGTGTGTGTGCGTGCGTGCGTGCGTGCGTGCGTGCGAGCGTGCGTGCGTGCGTGCGTGCGTGCGTGCGTGCGTACGTGCGCGCGTGCGTGCGTGCGTGCGTGCGTGCGTCGTGCGTGCGTATGTGTTTGTGTGTTTGTGTGTGTGTGTTTGTGTGTTTCTGTGTGTGTGAGTGTGTGTGTGTTTGTGGTGTGTGTATCTGTGTGTGTGTGTGTGTGTGTGTGTGTGTGTGTGTGTGTGTGTGTGTGTGTGTGTGCGTGTGTTTGTGCGTGTGCGTGTGTGCGTGTGTTTGTGCGTGTGCGTGTGCGTGCGCGTGCTCGTGCATGTGCGCGTGCGCGTGCGTGTGCGTGTGCGTGTCCGCGTGTGTGTGTGTGTGTGTGTGTGTGTGTGTGTGTGTGTGTGTGTGTGTGTGTGTGTGTGTGTGTGTGTGTGTGTGTGTGTGTGTGTGTGTTTGTTCAGTTTATAATACACGGGGAGGTTTTTAAGAGTTATACTATAGTATATATTATATGTTTTTAACATTATAGTGTTAAAAAAAGTCTCTTAAGTTTATGTATTTCCAGTAGATATGTTTCAAATTTCTGTTTATATTTAGCTTTGAAGCTTTCCGTACTCATTTTATTTCTCAGAGGAGGGGGCAAGTCGTTCCATATCCTTGCTGCAACAAACATACGAAGGCTTCTATGTGAAATGTCTTTGATGGATCAAAAGCGTATACAATTTCGTGTTTCTCACTCATTAACTGTATCTTGACTATATTTCTTATTTCGTATTTCCTTCTGCTCTTCTGTATATTATAATAAACTATTAACTGTATATATGTGGTTTAATTCACCATCCACCACCTTAGACCATTCAACACAGCGTGATTTAAGCTTCGGTTTGTTTTGCTAGTGACACAACTACAGCGCCGCCACGTGCTGCATAATTTTAAATTGTTAATAAGTTAAAATTATGCATATTTATTTGCTTGATTGTGTGAGGTAGAGTGTGTAGCTGAGTGTGGGGTGATCCTATTACTATTACTTCGAGATGGATGCTGTAAAGTACTCGAAATGTAGCGAATTAAAAAGTTAAAATTAAACGCGATAATATGCGAAAAATTTGTTTTATTTAACTTTAAAGCAGCTTAACATAATATAATCTTCCTCATTAGCACAATCCAGCAACTGAACTGACTGCATAACGACAAGATATATAAATATTATATGCTCGTGTTTCTCTATACCTGACGACAACCTAACAGTTATCAGTCCATCAATAATTTTTGTCATTCTTTAAAATAAAATGTCAATATTTTAACACATTTTTACAAGATAAAATTTTATACAATATCTGTGCTAGGAATAACAAACTTCTCATAAAAATATTACTTTGACCTCTCATACTGTATATGTATAAGTATGTATCACGTTATTAATATTATTAAAGTATAATATTTGAAACATTTTTTGTAAAAACAAATATGATATCATTTAAGACTAAATATAAGCTATTTACTTGTGTGTTGTTAGTTTCACTTTATGATTTTCTATTTGCGCGATAGTGTCAAATAACGGCAGAGTTTTTGTTTCAGGTGTGAAGACTAAAAGGAAAGCTGCCACAATCGCCGTGGACGCAAACAGGATGGATGGTAAAGAAGCCAGCTCCATGGACTGAAAAAAAAACAAAATGATATTATTATACTCCCACGGCGCAAGAAAACGATTCTTTGAAATCTATCTCCCCCGTAACCCTTAGGCCAATTTATATAGTTTTTCGACAATATTTGTAGCTCAAGCAGACAAAGTTTGTGAACAATAAAAATCTGAATTTGTCTAAAAGATATTAAAAATAACCAAAAACTAAATTGTCTATGGGAAAATAAATGAAGAGAATTAGATAGATTATGAGAAAAGAATTAATTTAAAACAATTGTCATGTGATTGAGTCATTTGTTGAAATAAAGATAGTTATGACTTTATACGTTTACTCCACCCCGTTTATGATGCTAGCAAAAGGTTTTTTTTAAACTTTGCATCTGCATCGACCCTAGTTATTACAAAATTACTAGAAAAGAGGTTTTATACTTGGTCGTCAGCGAATTGGCATATTGCTGCTTCTGTATTATTGTTTAATTAATAGTTTGAAGTCTTCGATCTATTAGTGATCGAAGCTTGAATATTACTTATATAAATTATAAATACGAAAATAAATGCTTGCATTTTATTTATTTTGATGACGTATGATATAATAATTTAAAACTTACCAATAAAGGAGTAAGTGGAGCCAGCATACTTCCAATTCTAGCTACCGTATTACACCAACCAACAAGAGAACCCCGCACACTTGTAGGAAACAGTTCTAGACTATAAGTGAAGACTCCCGTGAAGCACACTACAACGCCAACTTTACCCGCCAAAAACAATACCACCTTCAGCCACACTATAGCTGCCAAACAAAAAATATATTACCTAATAAAAAATAAAAATAAAATAGTTAATTATTTCCACACTTTTTAAATTTATATATAATTTTACAACTTACCATCAGGAGAGAATGATTGCGATATCAAAAATGCCGCTGAAAAAAGATAACCATATTGCAAAGATATTCTCCTTCCGAACTTATTAAAAGTGTAAAAAGCCAAAAGATCTCCAGGGAATGATGTTAGAGAAGATAATACGAAATTTGTATATTTATTTCCCGGCAACAGTACCGAATGCACCACCATTCCGTAATAAATAAAACTTGATGTGAAAAAACAAAATGACATTACACATAATCGAATCATTGTTTCCTTAGAATTAATTATATCTTTCATTTTCTCTCTCTCTTTTTGGATAACCACATTGAACCTCGTACGCAGCTCATCATTGCTTATTTCTGCTATTTGTTCAGCTGTAACACTTAACTTATTTCTTTTTGCTGTTAGTTTTAATGTTTCTTTGGCTTCATCCATTTTTCCCCGTAACATCTGCCATCTTGTACTTTCTCTTAAAACGAACATATAGAATATAAATAAAAACATCGGTGAGTATACGACCAATATCAATGTCTTCCAATATTGAAGACCCATGGCAATAAATGCAAAAAGAACTTCTCCAGTGTATATCGCATACGAGAATATAACTCCAGCTAAAACCCTTTTCGTTTCACCACCGACTTCAATCACTGAAAATTAAATACAATTTGATAATTAATATGAGTGTAGTATTAAACGGGATCCTCATGGAAAAGTTATTATATAAAAATAATAATGTTGGGTTTTCATTTTTAAAATTTTAGATAGGGAACCCTAAAACTCGTGAAATTTACTGATAAAAGGATGTAAATAAAACAAAACAAAATTAAGGCTTACATAAAACCACTGCAACTGTATATAGCCCAGAGGCCAGTACAGATTCTAGAAATTCAAGGCCTAAATACGCATAGTAATTTTGTATGAATATTTTGAACACGCCCACTGCGCCGCCAATAGAACACGCTACGATAGTAGGTTTTCTTCCGATTCTGAAAAAAACAAGTAAGTATTAAGATTCAATGAATAGGTTTACTATTTTTCTCGGCATTTCATTCTTGCATTCATCAAAGCCCCTCACAAGTCCATTGCTGTACATAGTTTCTTCCAAGTCATGATAGTGAGGGCCTGGTAAGAGATGCAGGGGCCGCACCCGCACTACACTTCACTTACCCATAGCACAGAATAAATAATAGTACTACGTACAGGAGTTTCACTCTTAATGTTGACTGCTTGCCGACGTTTAATAGCCTACATAATTATTATTAATAAGATAAATTGCGCACGCAAGCTAAATAAACATTTATCACTGCGCGCGAGTGTCCGTATTACTTTGCATCTTTTCCCAATCCCACATCACGGCTGTTTTTCCGTGGTTACATAGGGCTGTCAAGAATATATTAAAAATATATTAAAAACACATGTAAGTAGGTACTTATTTAGCTTATAATATGTATTAATATATGCTCATTTATCTACTATTTATGCACACTTCTATTTACGGACTACTATTACGGATTACTCGTACGTTACCAAGATTTGCCTGAAGAGATCACTGTTAAGCGATGAGGCCACCTAATTGTACATAAAATTATATGTTGTGTGCAATAAAGAGTATAAATAAATTAATTAATTAAACGTTGCGAAATGGTAAGTGAAATAGGTAAGGTACCAATTGTGACTGATCGAATGAACATAATTACTTTTGCTAATATGCGTATTCTGTGCGTAACGCATGCAACGTGGAAGAAATAGGTAGATAGGTAGTGTGACATTGATTTATTTTGTGTAACTCAATGTAGTATAAACAACAAATGAACCTGAAATACGATTCCTAAATTAAATGTGATTGTATTCTAATTGGTTAAAGATCTTGTAAACAATGTTTTAATTTCAGTGCTTTGTGATAACTTAAAATATTTTAATTTCAAAAGACATGTCAGTTACCTACTTCAATTTACCTACGTAAATTTCAACTAAGTTTTGTAATAAACTACCTACTTAGGTATTACTTCTGTATTTAAATTATTACGTAATTCTTTTTTGCTATAAGTATTCATTTAACAAAAAAAAATGAAATAAATGTACCTTTCATTACCCTTATGTTACTTAAAAAATGATATATCTGAATCCTTTTGTTTGCTCATTATGCATCCATCCACGCAGCAATTATAGTAGGTTCGAAGTTTTGCCATTATAGTTTATCAAATAGATATAATACACATATATTATTTTTAAATCACATTTAAAAAAATTGAACTATTTTATCCTACAATTAAATAGTAAACACTAAACAAAAATTACAAGTGTTTACAAAAAACTATTTACGTAAACAGCGTTACAAATACATCAATCGCCTAGAACGCGCTAGCCCCGACTGCGTATTACTATTACACTCTGGGTGAATCGCGATTTTAGGTAATTATTTCACGCAGGTAGCAAGAGCGACAGAGGCCTGCCCATAGGCGGCTGCCTTTGAAGCCCCCATTCAGCCACTGCCACTGCTCCTCGCGCTGCCGGCAATACTTCCCTAAATACTGCCGTAGCAGGATCGCGGGAAGTGTGTATTCACAATTTCACACTCTGCCCTACTGCCCCATTTACATTCAGCCCGTTTGGGCAGGGAAGTGAGCAGGGCAGTGAGCAGGGCAGTATGTAAACAGGCTACTCGCACTGACACTGCCGCTGCCGCTGACACTGCCCGAAATGTCGGTTTTTCGTGCGGAAGTCAAAGGACGGGCAGCGCGAGCGGCAGTGTGTGTTCACATTCAGCTCCATCGCTCACTTCGCGACAAGCGCCTGGATGAATGGACGTGCGTGCTGTCCTGTTATTAAATAAATACGATCTACCAAAATGCCTTTCGAGTGGATTAATGAAAATACAATAAAGTTTTTAGAACTGCTGGAATCAGAAAAAACTATATGGGATTTCAACGATAAAAACCACAATTCATCATCTTCTACGAATACGAATTTTCTTTTTGAGTTAACATAGTACCTATGTACATAATTAATTATAAATTCGTCAAATTTATTATATTAATATAAAATTTAGTTAAAGGAATTAATGAACATTGACATTTTATTGCTAAAAACGATTAGTAACTCATATTGATTATTTATTAATTAAAATGTAAAATAAGTTAAAAGGTAATATTTGCATAATAGCCTGAGATTTTTAAATTATAATTTTATTGTAATTAAAATTACGAATTAGTTTATACTGAAGTGTAATTAATAAAATAATAATAGCTTAACTAATCTCATATAATATTTAATATTATTTATGTAACAATAATATAATAATTCAATTAATAATTTATGAACAATTTACTGTATAAGAATTCAAATAGAGTGGATCTGTATAAGTATTTAATTGTACATAATATTTGAATTCAAAAAGAATGTGTGTAACTTTTAAGCAACATCGGGTTTGTGTAATTAGCTGTATTTCATATCATTTTTCCATGCCAATTATGGCAAAACATGTCAGTTCCACGTCATTGATCATCTTATGTACCATGTTTTTAAGCAAATAAATTTTCTATCTATCTATCTATCTTCTTTTGAACTTGATATCTTTTTAAATTATTAACATAATTTTGTATTGCAAGAAGACAGCGCGGACGCTGTAATTATTTCGACGTCCGCCATAGTCGAAAGCCGAAAGCGATGTGAGTGGTAGGGCAGAGTGTGAATACACACTTCCCGCGATCCTGCTACGGCAGTATTTAGGGAAGTATTGCCGGCAGCGCGAGGAGCAGTGGCAGTGGCTGAATGTAAATGGGGCTTACCACAGTACCACTCACATCGCTTTCGGCTTTCGACTATGGCAGACGTCGAAATAATTACAGCGTCCGCGCTGTGTCTTCTGGCAATACAAAATTATGTTAATAATTTAAAAAGATATCAAGTTCAAAAGAAGATAGATATATAGATAGAAAATTTATTAGCTTAAAAACATAGTACATAAGATGATCAATGACGTGGAACTGACATGTTTTGCCATAATTGGCATGCAAAAATGATATGAAATACAGCTAATTACACAAACCCAATGTTATATTTTAAAATTATTGCATTGCTTAAAAGTTAGGTGCAAACATTCTTTTTGAATTAAAATATTATGTATTAATGAAATACTTATACAGATCCACTCTATTTGAATTCTTATACAATAAATTGTTCCTGAATTATTAATTGAATTATTACATTATTGTTACATAAATAATATTAAATATTATATGAGATTAGTTAAGCTATTATTATTTTAATAATTACACTACAGTATAAATTAATTCATAATTTTAATTGCAATAAAATTATAATTTAAAAATCTCAGGCTATTATGCAAATATTACCATTTAACTTATTTTACATTTTAATAAATAAATAGTCAATATGAGTTACTAATCGTTTTTAGAAATAAAATGTCAATGTTCATTAATTCCTTAAACTAAATTTTATATTAAAATAATAAATTTGACGAATTTATAATTAATTATGTACATAGGTACAATGTTATCTCAAAAAGAAAGTTCGTATTCGTAGAAGATGATGAATTGTGGTTTTTATCGTTGAAATCCCATAGTTTTTTCTGATTCCAGCAGTTCTAAAAACTTTATTGTATTTTCATTATTCTTTGTACTTATTTAATAACAAGACAGCACGCACGTCCGGTCATCCAGGCGCTTGGCGCGAAGTGAGCGATGGAGCTGAATGTGAACACTCACTGCCGCTCGCGCTGCCCGTCCTTTGACTTCCGCACGAAAAACCGACATTTGAGGGATCGTCGGGCAGTGGCAGCGGCAGCGGCAGTGTCAGCGCGAGTAGCCTGTTTACATACTGCCCTGCCCACTGCCCTGCTCACTTCCCTGCCCAAACGGGCTGAATGTAAATGGGGCATGAGACTTAATTTTTCGAAGTATTTCTTTTTTTTTCATTTCTAAAAAAAATCTCGACGTGAATTCGCTAATACCATCACGTACTAAACCACCAAGGTTGTATGGGTTACCGAAGATACACAAACTAAACGCTCCATTACGTATAATGAGCCAGAACTTATAAACTGGCACAACACTTGGCAAAATTACTATCACCACTGAGAGGACATACAAGAGCACACACAAAGGATTCATACCAATTTGTTAGTGAGATAAAAAACCTACATCTCGCTGACAATGAAACTATGGTCAGTTTTGATGTTCAGTCATTATTCACATGCCTACCTATTGAAGACTGCGTGTCAAATGTAACTAGGAAGCTAGAAAATAACAACATGTCTGCTGAATATGCAGTATTACTCAAACACTGCCTCTCATCTGGCTATCTATCTATCTTGTGGAAGGAAGAGTTCTACAAGCAAGTAGATAGTGTGGCGATGGCCTACCTGTATCTCCCATAGTCGCCGACATATTCATGGAGGACTTTGAGGAGAAAGCCCTTCTTACTGCTCGAATCGCAATTTCGAAATCAATATACTACCAATACTGCCACAATTAAAAGCGTTCTGTGAAGCTTTCAATGAGATTGCGCAATCGCATTGAAATGTATCAATGCCATTGAAGCAATTAAATTCAAAGCAGTATTGAACCGAAATTGACCCGTGTAATATCGGCTTTATCCTACTACTGAGTATGAATGACAATTTACATGAATTGCAACTTTTTGTGACAAACTTTCTCTTTTCAGGATTAAAGAAGGATTTACTAGAATTAGCACGCTTGATAATTGGTATGACGAGCGCAGAGCCGATATCACTACACCTGTATCTTTATGACTCTGTGGTATATGAGTTTGGCATTTTCGAATAATTCCCTAACGTGGTGGGGCCCAGATTGTGGTTGTGGACTCTTTATGGACTGATGAAAAGGACTGCTGAAGTGAATTAGGGATTGAATTTTAAGAAACAACACATCCGCTCAATGTTAGTAGTATAGTTGTAGCACGAATGGGTCGGCTGGACCGGAGAAGGACCACCCTTTCACAGAATACCAGCACAAAATAATAGATTTATGCTGCTGTGTTTCGTACGGTGAGTGTTACCTGAGACCCTTTTTACTAGAAACGAGGCATTCCACCTTAGTCCTCACGGGTGACAACTCGTCTGCAATTCGAATTATAATCGAGAATAGATGACGTCTATGGGCCACAGCAGTCACCTACCATGAGGTGGACTATGTGCTCGTTTGTCACCGTATCCTATAAAAAAATCCGCCCACATCCATAATTAAGAAAAAAGGGCTAAAGGGGTTTCGAAGTGATCAAGCAGTTTGATGGCAAGCACGGTATTTCATTTTACTTGCACAGTCTAGTTTCTGGATGTTAACGCTGTTAGTCTATGCGACTCTTATAACTTCATCTGACTCAGGACTCGTGGCCTGCAAGGCCGCGAGTTTACTTGCACAAGCAGCTTGATGCACATTACACACGTCTAACAACTTGAGCAAGCACAACTCAAACTTTCAAAATCGCATCCGTCACTGAGCAAACACTTAGATTCTTGATCCAAGGATCAAGCAAATACTGTAAATGATCAAACGCTTTACTCTACTAAAATCTACGATATTGCTTCAGCAGCCGCTTGACCGTTTCGGTAACCCTAAAGTCAGTTATCAACAGATGGGTTGTGTGTTCCTTGGAAATAATTGAATATAAAATTTACAAATGGGTGAGCTGTATAGTTGCGCTGACCACGGATGGTTAACATGGCAAAGTCAAGGATAATGCCAAGCCAAATCATCTTACTAGGTTAATCGATAAGTTAGACTTCACCTTGAATAGCGTTTTGCAAATTGTTTAATACCCTTGGAAAAAAGACTGGGTCCTGGGACTCTAAAAAGGCCTCTACAGCACACGTCACCACATTGTCGTCGTCGAATTTTATACCAAGCAAGTACTTTTTGCGTAACGTGCGTACCTGCGTAATACTCAATTATGAAAATCACTTGTAGGTCCGGGGAAGATGGGTGCTGCATCAACTGAAACCCAACAGTTCGAATGGCAGCGCCTGCAACATCTTATCGATGGCCATGGGCATTATTATTACGAAGAAGCCCTCCAGAACGCAATTTTCTTCGACGTTTATTCTTTAGTTCTTCGCGTAGTTTTTGATTGGTAATGCGTAATAATCGTTTTTTTTAATAGGATAGGGTGACAAACGATCACACAGTCTACCTGATGGTAAGTGGTCGCTGCGGCCCATAGACATCTATATCTATCCTCGATTACGAATCAAAATGTATATGCGTTGTCACCCGTGAGGACTAATAGGGAATGCCTTGTTTCCACTAAAAAAGGTCTCCGGTTCTCTACACTCACTGTACAAAACACAGCAGTATTAAGATACTATTTCACGCTGGTATTCTGTGAGAACGTGGTCCTTCTCCGGTCGAGCCGACACATTCGTGCTACAACTATATTACTAATATCACTGCAGCGTGGCTCTCCCACGTATAAAATCATCGGTTATTGTCTCTCCTTTACTTAAACAGGCGATTAGATAGTCATAATTATACGTTCCACGTCCTAGAATATAGAGACCGTTATTTCAGAATTTTATGAGAAATTTTGTATGTAAGTTAGTACTAATACTAACTTACAAAATTTCAGCTTTGTAGAATTTCGAGACCCAAGAATTTTGATGATCATCAGTGAGTGAGTCAGTGACGAAATCATTTGTTTTTAGATATCAATGAAATCTAAAATATAAGAGCTATGGAATTGAAACTTTTTGGGTTTAATAAGTCCACTATTCAAATCATAACCCGAGAATTTTGTTTCTCTGATATAATCCAAACCCAAGTTATGAGAGTTAAAAAAAACGACAAAGCGCTTCGAGAAAAGGTAGGTAGTGCTTCGGTTAGGGTAGTTAGGGTTTTGGTTTGGTTGGCTCGTCTTGGCGTTGAGTTTACTACTGTGTTCCCAGATAGCCGCACGAAATTCGAGTTTCTTCATTTTGCATACGAATCAAATTTCTACCAAATGCGAAGATTAAAGAAAATTGGGTATAGTTTTTTCTAGCCTTGGCTACTAAAGAATTTAAGATTCGCAAAACATGGAACGTATTGATAAGTGTCCTATTTCGAAAACTTATTGATCAACTTACAACAAAGTTACTATTTTTGTTTACCAGTATAAAATATATGACTGCTTCGTTGGTCGAGTGGTCGTAAACGTGACTGTTGATCATGAAATCCCGGATTCGAAAGTTATTGAGTTTTTCCGTCAAGAAATTCTCAGTAGTTGCCTGAAGTCAGAAAGTTGGCGGTGTCTCAAAAGCACGTAAAGCCGTTGGCCCTGCGCCTGATCTCTCTCTGGTTGTGTTGGTTTACCGTACCAAGAGACAATGAGAGTCAGAGAATAGAGAGTGCACCTGTGCTTGCGTTTACACTTGGGCACCATAATTCTGTCCTGCGTCGATGGCTAGTCTCCGTTGAGGCTGGCCGCCGTGACCGAATTTACATAACATATACATAAACACTCACGCCTGTCACCCAGAGGGGTAGGCAGAGACTACAGACTTCCATTTGGTACGATCCTGACACACCTCTCTCGCCTCCTTCACATCCATACACCTACGCATACATGCTCGTCGGTTAAGGGTACTCCTAATTTGGCCCGTTTTCAATATATCGCCAGTTTGGTCGATAAATTTTCGTCTAGGACGTCCCTTTCCGACTCTGCCATTCACTTCTGCAACATAAATTTTCTTTGTCACTCTTTCCTCATTCATTCTTTCCACATGACCAAACCACCGAAGCATTCCTTTCTTAATCCTGGTCACAACATTATCTTGCAAACCACACTCATCTCTTATTACACAATTTCTTACCCTGTCGTTCAGATTCAGCCCTAACATACTCCTTAAGGACCGCGTTTCTTTCTACTGCGTTCATTCTACTCTCGTGCTTCTTCTGCCACACCCAACTTTCACTACCATACGTTAAAGTAGGGACCAACACAGCATTGTGAATTGCCATACGTGCCTTTTTCGACACATTTTGACTCTTCACAATAGAGTGCAGGGCCCCATTTACTCTATTTCCCGCATTCACTCGTCGTTCTATATCCTTATCATATCTCCCATCCCTGCTAAATACGCAGCCCAAATATACAAACTCATCTACTTGCTCGATCAACTCCCCTTCTATTCTTATTTCACAAATCGTTTTACTTTCTTCTCTTTCAAAAACCATAACCTTCGTCTTACTTGCGTTCACTTTCATACCCCTTTGCTTTAATGATCTGTTCATTAATGTAACCATCATTTGCAACTCAGCCGCCGACGACGCAAGGATAACTTGATCATCGGCGTACAAAAGGCATTTGACGGTTAACTCACCCATTCTTAATCCGCATTCTTCAACTTTCAAATTTTGCAAACAACTGTCCATAAATAGGTTGAACAGCCACGGGGAAGCCACACAGCCCTGTCTGACACCTTTATGGATGTCAAACCAGTCCGAGTAGACCCCGTTGATCCTAACACAAGCACTAGAGTCCCTATAAAGAGACTCCAATGCCTGTATCAAGCCAACGCTCAACCCAAATGAGTTCAGTGTTTGCCATAGCACATCCCTATCCACTCTGTCATAGGCCTTTTCCAAGTCCATGAACGCACAAAAAACCTTTTGGTTTTTGGCCAAAAACTTCTCCGCGATCATGCGCATGGAAAAGACTTGATCTGTACATCCCATTCCCTTTCTGAATCCCGCTTGCACATCCCAAATTTTTCCATCAGTTTCTTTCATGACCCTTTCAATCAGTATCTTAGCATACAGTTTTCCCACAATGCTAAGAAGGCTGATGCCAAGGTAGTTTTTACAGTCCTGCTGCGACCCTTTTCCTTTATATACTGGGACTATCACGGATTTGCACCAGTCTACCGGTACCCGCTTCAGTTCCCAGCATAAATTAAACAAGGTATGCAGCAGGCCTGCCACGACTTCCTCTCCAGCCCTTAGCATTTCGAGTGAAACTCTATCATATCCGGCAGCCTTACCTGCTTTCATGCTTTGTCATTGCTTTCATTATTTCATCTATACTTATCTCGCTACCTCTTTCCTCTTCTTTCGGAGTTTCTACTTCACTTAGTACACACGTTGTCTCCTCACTCATAAACACGCTTTCGAAATATTCCTTCCATCTCTTTAAACTCAAAACTTCATCTTTCAGAATATATCCATTCTCGTCTCTTATAACATTCATCATAGGCTGTTTTGAATGTCCCCTGGCAGTTCTTACAAGTTTCCAGAACATTTTAATATTTGCCTGGAAGTTATCCGATATTCTTCTATCATTCTTATCCGTTCTTTCTTGCTGTTTTCTTTCAACTAGTTCTTTTACTCTCTTATTAAGATGTTTAAAGACTGCCTTTTTTCTTTCAATATAATCATTCGTACCGCTAGAATTACCAGCCTTTGTTGCTTGTAAATCTAGCCATGCTCTCTTCTTTGCTTCAACTTCCATACGTATCTCATCATCCCACCATAACGTATTATTTTTCCTTTCATTCTTCCTCTTACTAACACCACATACTTCGGTAGCTGCATCCACTAAACCTTTCTCGAATTTCGGTATGGAGGACATTTTAATTTTAAAATATATAATCGGTGGCAAAAAACGCTCAGTGATAAGAAAACTTACTTATCAGCAATCCATCCCGTGATCATCATCGACACAAGCATACCAGCGTTGTGCACACTGCCTACTAGTGTCGCCTTCCATGACTGACATCCAAGATTTAGCTGAAAAAGGAAGATGTTAAATAAATTAAAGGTAGATAATTTTTCTATTTAACCATAGTCTCAGACTAATAAATAAAGAAAGAGGGACTACGTACGTTTTAACACATGCTAAACAAAGCCTCATCCATGCACTACTTATTCTAATAACACGCATTAACGTATCCATTTGAGTCTAAAATCATTTACAACATACAACATGGTTTTAGGTGCATATGAGTGTGTTCAGCCATGAACTTTTACGGGCGGGCTCAAAAACGTTATTAAAAATAACGTTTTAAAAACGTTTGGAACGGTCCCTTGTATAACATTTTGTTCGGAACAAAAATGAAATGAGGCATTGAGGATTGATTGATTGAGACATTATTACAACGTATAGAGAAGACTACGTCTTGCATGATTTTGCGCCACGCTTTACGGTACACTGTACCGCAACTGTTTAGTGAGTGTCCAATGCCCGCACAGACAAGTCGTGTTCGCTTCGCAAAAATAACAACTCCAAAACGTTGTATTCTTAAAGACTGCAGTAAACACTCCAGAACATCAAAAAAAAGTGATGGTTTAACATTTCATCAGCATGGACATCAAAACGTTTAAAACTCTTTAATTTAAGAGTTTTTCGCGTTGTTACAATGCTCACGAGAATCGGGCAAAATATAAAATTTATGAGAACGACTTGTTGTACACTACGTTGAACGATACGCGTAAGCGCCATGAAATTTCTGACGCTTATGACGTTTTGGTCGCGAGAAAACTAATCCCTAATGCAAACTAGGGCTGCATGTTTTATTAGTTTGGTTAGATGACGTAACTTTTTTTTTTATAGAATAGGGTGACAAACGAGCATACAGTCCACCTGATGGAAAGTGGTTGCTGCGGCCCATAGACACCTACATCTATCCTCCATTAAAAATCAAAATGCAGATGCGTTGTCACCCGTGAGGACTGAGATGGAATGCCTCGTTTCCAGTAAAAAGGGTCTCCGGTTCTCTACACTCACCATACGAAATACAGCAGCATTAAGCTACTATTTCACGCTGGTATTCTGTGAGAGCGTGGTCCCGCCCCGTTCGAGCCGACCCATTCGTGCTACAACTATACTACTAATATAACTGCAGCATGGCTCTACCACGTAGTATTATTTTAGCGCTGCGCTGAACTTTAGTTCTAACTCTTACCAAAATGAAGCAAACTTTTGGTTCGGGGATCTGTTCTATATGCTAGTAATATAGTTCGGTGTTTATTAAGCAGGAAACTAAAAAGATGGAATACACAGTAGTATAGTAAATCTGTGGATGGAAGCATTGATTACGCAGTAGTCATATAAGTCTATAGATGGAAGACATTTTGGTATTAAGGAATAATCACAGAATACTTACATAGGATATAATACACAATATTATAGTATTCTATGGGAATAAATAGTATATATGATTATGACAAGCCATGATATGATATTTTTTTGATATTTTAAATAAAGAAGAGACAAGAAATTTATTTTTCAGCACAATGTTTTGATTATGTAACAGTTACATTTCCTTTTCCTTATCATCACGAGCTATATGTCCATATTTGTTTGTGTGTATTTATTTCAATATTTCTACATACACGTAAGTGCGCATGCATGGTTCAACGAATTGTAATTCTGAAGAAATAAGTTTTCCGTAATGTTCATTCCTAAAAATGGGAAAAAACGGTTTAAAATGAGTAAAAGCATTTTTTCGAACGATTTAAAATATCGTTCTCTTCATAAACGTTTTTATTATGATTCCGTTCGAACATAAACAAAACAAATAAGTTTTTAGGTATTTAAGGCCGTATCGGCGGTATCGAAGCCGTTTCGAAAAATATACCGTTATCCCAGCCCTGCGGGCTGATAAAGAAAAATATACGAAAGAGGTGTGCGTGAGTGCGTCAAGAAGTTAAGCATGCTTTCGGCATCACTTGAAATGTACACATCGCTCCGTCTATCTTTCTTTATTGGATTATGACAACAGCACACAGTTTCTGATAAATATATTTGTTTCACTAATAAGCGTAATAGTCACTATAAAAGGTACCTAAACCCAGCATAAAGTTAATCGTGTGCGAATAAAGCTCTATGAAGATAGCAGTGAAAAGTCAGCAGAAACCTTAAAATTGTATCCAGGAATTTGTAGCTAATTTACTGCTAATTAGTTGTCAAAATCGCGACTTTGTTGCTCCAACCGGTTCGGAGAAAATTGATTTACTGCTATCTTTACATTAAGAAGCAGTAAAAACTTTAAAACAACCCCGCCGTAGCGGTTAAAATGGGATAATTTGCTGTTAACTAGTTGCTGAAATACAATGCAAAAATGATACAAAAAACTCGAATTTTTTTATAAAAAAAATTACTAAAATTAAAATGTTGTTTTAATAATGGTTTTTAGCAATTATTCGTGTACATGCTAAATTTACAGATGATTTTTTTAAAAAAACCGCAGATATTTTGTTGCTGTTCATTAGTCTCTCAAACGGCAAGCGTCCAAATTTGACCGCTTCGATGTTCCGTCAAAATTCAAGAGGTCAAATGTGACCGCACCCACCCACAGGACTTTAACCCATCAACACTTATGTTTCGAGACTAATTTTCTATGAAGAAGTTTGGCATTATAGAATCAATACGAAATTTTCTATCCTCTAGTGAAATAAAAAGTCAGTTAGTTTATGGATATTTATTTATAATCTACGTTCATTTCGTACGCCATGTTCGTGTGAATGTTATTGTGTTAATTTTTTTATTTTTCTAGCGTTTTATTAGTGTTTTAGTATAGTGTTTTATTATGAAATTGTAATGAATGTTTTTGTGTGAATATAACTTTTCTTTTTACGTAAATAAATCGAGTAATATATACAGAAATAATTATGATTTTTTCGCTGCTGACATCCGCTTGGTATGTATTTTTTTTTTGTTAAAAAAATACAATAAAATCTTTTTGTAATGAAGTAAAACCTGACTTTTATTTAGACCACAGGATAGAAAATTTTGTATAGATTTTATAATGCCAAACTTCTTCATAGAAAAGTAGTCTCTATATATAAGCTTTAATGGTTTAAAGTGCTGTGTGTGGGTGCGGTCGCCCCTTCAATCCCCATAAAAATCCCATGCAGTCGCATGCGTCCGGCATGCGATTTTTATGGGGATTGAAGGGTTCATGGAAGCAGCTAGTCGTAAAGAGCCAGCAACAAAATAAAATCGATTGATAAGCTTTACGAAGTAATGAGTTAGTAATTATTAGTTTACTTGATTTATTTACTTGAAAATTTTAGAAAAAAGCTAGCAGATGTTTTGTTGCTGGTCAAATATAGAAGCAGCAACACATTAAGAGCCAGTAACAAAATAAAATCGATCGATAAACTGCACCAATTAATAAAATAAAAATTATTTGTGTACATTATAAATTTTCAGAAGATTTAAAAAAGACGGCAGATATTAAGTTGCTGTTCAGTTATCAAAGCAACAAGTCATTAAGAGTCAGCAAAAAAAATCGATGGATAGGCTGCACCAAGTTATTAGTTAGTAATTATTTGTGTACAGGCTACATTTACTTGAAAATTTTAGAAAAAAAAAATGGTAGATATTTTGTCTTTGATCAATAATGAAAGCAACAAGTCATAAATGGCCAGCAACAAAATAAAATCGATCGATAAGCTGTACCAAGTAATTAAATAAAATTATTTTTGTACATTATAAATTTTCAGAAGATTTTTAGAAAAAAAGATGGCAGATATTAAGTTGCTGTTTAGTTATGGAAGCGGTAAGCTGCACCAAGTAACTATTTCGTAATTATTTGTGTACATGCAATATTTACTTGAAATTTAAAAAATAGAAAAATATGTTGTCTCTGATCAATGATGGAAGCAGGAAGTCATAAATGGCCAGCAACAAAATAAAATCTATTGATAAGCTTTACGGAGTAATAATTTAGTAATTATTTGTTTACTTGCATTATTTACTAGAAAATTTTGGGAAAAAAGATAGCAGATGTTTTGTTGTTGGTCAGTAATGTTTATTTCATTTTATTCTTATTTTGTTTCTGGCTCTTTGTGACTTGCTGTTTCCATAACTGATAAGCAAAAAAATATCTGATGTGTCTTTCCAGCTGTAAAAGTATCATATGCACAAATAATTTTTATTTAATTACGTATTGTAGCTTGAAAATGAACATGTTAAATAAATGATTTGCCGTGAAATATTTTTATTTTATCTTTCATTTCATTTGAAGGTAGAAGTGAATTCTACCGCGTGTGAACTGCACACAAAACAAACTACGTAAGATTGATAAAATAAAATTGTTTTTGATTAAACAAAGTTGAAACAATATTCGAACAAATCTGTCTGGTTTACATTTTTACACAAATAAAACTTTGTCTTTTATATCGTAAAGTTTATCAACTAGGTATTTGAAATTAATAGATTTTCAATTTTATTCTGAACATGTTCCAATATCGCACAAAGCGTTTAAGAAATTATTAAAAATTGAATATAAAGTGAAACAACCACAACAACCACACACAATAGCTGAATTACGTGCCCAAAGATCATTATTAAAGATCTGCAGGTTTTTTCGATACATAGTGGGCGTCGAAGGCCATGGCTAGCGTTACCAGGCGTCCGGATAAAGCCGGACACAGTCAGGCTTTTTGGTTGCGTGTCCAGCCAAATTAGACCGTGTCCGGCCCGTCTGGCTTTAGTTAGGCTTTTTAAAGGAGAAAATCGTTTTTGGACCTTAACTTTGGAACTTAACTCCTAATAAAGATACCAATTTACTATAGTAAACTGACTAAAGATTTTATGAAAATCTAACCGGTATCATGACAAATAATATAATTAAAAATCAATAGCTACATATAAATTTATTTATTTATGCTTTCATGCACAAAAAGTACATATGGCGGACTTAATGCCATAGGGCATTCTCTCCCAGTCAACCATTAGGCTAAACAGAGATAGACATTATGGAGGCGGTGCAGCAATAATC